CTTTAACTACGTTTACGCCTTTAGTTATTGACGATCTCCCAGACATTTTAGTTGAATGTTTACGCCTGATCAACCGCATGCACTTTCTATATTCGCTCCCGAAAATAAATTTTCGTATATCATCTCTTTGAATATCTAATCAAATCCATATCATGGAAGAACGGAAAAGTGCAAAACACATCAAATCATGCCCACAACACATCAAATCATGCCATGACAAACCCTAATATCGAAAATACTTTTTCATTTAGTAGGTGCTTGAACCCTCTAGGTCCAACGTGACGTCTTCAATGAAATATAAGGTTGACACTCGATGATACTTAGAGTAATTTTCAACCATGAGGTTGAATCAGGAGGTCGGATAAAGAGGTCAGACCAACAGGTCTGAACAAGAAGTCAGAAGAGGCACACAGAACTCAAGTTAGACCTAGATTCCCCTCCCCCCAGGCGCGACAACAGCGGAAGTGATAAGGGAACAACTGGATGATAACAAAAATCTGTTAGGTGGCAAACAGCCTTACTCAAGGCATAAAATCCTTAATCAGCCAAGATCCTCTCCTAAGATTAAGGAGGGTTTCTCGGATAAATAGCCAGAATTTCGGTGCAGATCCCATAGAATTAGGAACAACCCTATAAATATTATGTAACTCTCCCAAAGCAGAGGGGAAAACCCTAGTAACATATACTCTATCCTGTAAACTTTATGAATGAGGAGTAACAAGAAAAAGAGCAAGAGTCTCTATTGAAGAATGAATTAGTCGAGCTCCCGAACTGGTGAACCACTATAATTCTATTGCGTCAATCTCCCAATTTCCCATTGATGGCTCTTTCAAACCTTGTAGCTCAGATCTTAATAGTCAGATACTGATCATTCCATCTGCTCATTACCATAAATTTACATCACATTGATTTACACCATCAACATTTGATAGCTTGGGCCAAGTTGATATTATTGTAGTACAATTATCATAGTCATAATCTGGTTGACAACACTCGTTCAAAAAAAAAAAAAAAATTATGGTGGACAGTTTCCGTTAGTTAGTGAGCGCTGTGTGTTTAAAATTGTGTTTTACTGTGTCCTCTTTTGTCAATGTGTTTTTATGTATGTGGTGTGTGCTTATTAGAGAGAGTGTGCATATTTATGAGGGTGCATATCATTATATGTATTTGATAGTGCTCGAAATTGATTGGGTTAGATTACAAAATAACTTGAGATGCGGCCCACCGAATATGTGTATATGCAGAAGTATGAGCGTGTATGCTATGTGTATGATGCAAGGTGAAGGCAACAATGTGAGTGATTCACCTTAACTGAAAGAGTAAGGTTATGTTTATTATAAGGGAGACTCTTGCTCTTTGAAAAGTATATTGCTTGAGAAAAAAGATTATTTTTACAAGATGTTTGGCTTGAAGTTTTTTATAGGATATTACCTAGATTATTGTTGGGTAGTTTCTCTGAATGACCTCCTTTGTACTGTAGCATCATTAGCTATTTAAACATCTGGTTGTTAGGGTTTCGTGTTGATCGTTTTTTACTAATTTTGTGGTCCCTTCTGTGATTGTTTTGTTCCAGGAGGTGGAGCCCCTGACGCCTTTCTGCATCCATTACTCGCTGCCTGCAGCACGTGATCCATCTCCACCACCAGAGGGTTTTCGTTCATCAGAGTCATCAGGTAATGTCCATTTGTCCCTTGTCCACATGTCATGTTACAGCTTTTGTAGACTAGGTCGTGCTCCAATTTCTTGAGTTGGTACTTATACAAAGCTTGTTAAAACCGAACTGCTATTTATACTGAACTCGTTAGCATCAACCCTCTTCAGAGTTGGACCACGGTCCAATTCAAGCCCAATAGATGCTATTTGGATGAGGTTTGGGCCACCTTCTGTTAGCCCAGAGAGTTTTTGGGCTCTAAAAAGGGCTCAGACTTGAATCCATCAAATATTTTTCTTTTAACAATATGTTTTTGTGTGCGCATTTTTATGTGTGTAGCATGTGTGTATTTTTTTCTTTTATTCATGTATTTTTTTGGATGTTCTTTATGCCTAACCGTGTTTATCTTGTATGTGCATCCGTGTTTGTTTAAACTTTAAGGTTCTATTATGTGTATCCATGTGGGTTTTTATTAGTGTGTGATTGATTTAACATTTTTCATTATTTATTTATGAGTTAACGGGTTTAACTGAATTTATTATGATATAACTCATTTATAATTCATTTAATTGTGTAGCTACATTAGATATTATCTCATATTTATCATACTTAAATTATTTATATT